CACGGGACTGGCGCCGTTCCGGGCCTTTGTGCAACACCGCGCGATGGAGAAGGCGCAGGGTAAGGAAATCGGTTCCGTCCTGCTGTACATGGGCTCGCGCCACCAGCGCGAAGAGTACTGCTACGGCGAAGAGTGGGAAGCATACCAGGCCGCGGGAGTCATCACGCTGCTCGGCCGGGCTTTCAGCCGCGACCAGCCCCACAAGATCTACATCCAGGACCGCATGCGCGAGACCCTCGACGACATCGTCAAGGCCTACATCAAGGAAGACGGCGCCTTTTACCTGTGCGGCCCGACATGGCCCGTCCCCGACGTCACCAACGTGCTCGAGGAAGCCATCGCCAAGGACGCAAAGGCGAACGGAGTCGCCAAGAAGCTCGACACGAGCCGCGAGATCATAAAGGTGAAGGGCGAAGGGCGATACGTGCGCGGGGTGGACAAAAAAAAAAAAACAAAGCGTGCACGCGCGCGATGTTTTTGAAAGACAGAAAGACAGGAAAGAAGAAAAGTTTCTTAATCTATCGTATCTAGCGACTTGGTGACACGTCATATCTGATAGCGATAGCGAATACATTAGAACAACAAAGCAAAATGCATAGAAATTTAGTCGAGACTGAGACTGAGGCCTTAGCAAGGGGCTGTCAAGTTGATAAACCTGTACATGTAAGTGTAGGTAACAAGCAAATTGCACGCTGTGCTCAGTTCTCATATATATACTCTCCCTCTCTGTTGGAAGGTCTGTGGGAGTGTGTACCGAGTATATTTCTCTCTCTCTCTCTCAAAAACACACATTTTATATACCTGTATACCTACATGCCTATACCTATACACTTGGATAAATGTGCTTAGTATTGATCGGTACTATACAAACTGGTAGGTCAGGATGACAGGAGAGGAGAGGAGAGGATAGCCTCGACACAGCCTGAACCGTATCATGCATGCTTTTCTCTCAAAAAAATATCTTTTCTTTTCTTGCTCTAAAAATTCTGGTTCTCGCTTTCTGCTACTTTTTGAATCCAAATTAAAAATCAACCGCATGCATGCTTTTCTTTCTTTTTCTCCAGAGCTAGCTTTTTGCTCTCCTCGTCGCTCTCGACCGACCATATCTTTTTGGTACTCTTACAACTTATCAATCTACGATACGTCTACACAAACCTGTCTCCGTGAGACCGCGGATGGCCACCTTGACGTTTTCTAGGATCGACCACCACCTCTGGGCGAGTCTCGTCCCGCCTCAGCCCGCTTGATTTCCTCGAGAATCAAATCCCGTGCAGTCAGAACGCCATCCTCCTTACCCACAATCGTGATAGCTTCTCCTTCCTCGCCCCTGTTGGAGTTTCTGTTTGGAACTTGAATGTCACAACCAGACTGTCTCCGGATAGCATTAATCGTCGAGCCACCCTGCCCGATGATGTGGCGGTGAAGTCTAGGGTCTGGGAGGATGAGGAAGCCGGTGTGTTGAGGTTCGGCAGCCTTCTGAAGCAGTGACTGGATCTTGTCTTTAGCCTTGGCGACAGTCTCGTCGGTAGCATCTTTTCCAGCCAAGATCACCCAGGGGATCTCCCCAGGTTCACTGTCCGATCCCTGCTGGTTAGAAACAATATCCCATGAGTAGGCCTCCTCCCCAGGTTGATCAGTGATCAGCGGCATATCACCATTCGTCGTCCGTGTCCGTGATCCGCGGTTGGCAGCCGGCTTTGGTGGCGGCCTCTGTCCATTGTGATCGACACGAATGCCATCCCGAGACAGCTCTCGGAATAGAGCACCATTTTTGGACACGATATGATGCAGAGACCGTGGAACCATGATTGTTTCGCCCTGAGGCTTGGATATCATCCCTTGTATGCGCTCCTTGGCCTTGGCGACATTTTCCGGGCGACCGATGATTTTGACGCCGGTGTGTCCAGTGCCCACTCGAGGTACATCAAGGATGACACCGAATTCTGCTTCAAGTTTCTTTCGAATGCTACCATTCGGCCCGATCAAAGAACGGTGCTGGCTGATCGGGACATCGATTGTCTCGGTCGTTTGGTTCTCCCGCTCATCCACGAAGGCTTGAATGGCTGCGAGGATCTTCTCGACGACATCAGCCGTGCCCCTGATGGTAAGTTCATCAGACTCGTCTCCTTGCCGAGGGAACCGGACGTGTTCTGCACTAGTACCGGTGCCACCCGCTTTAGCGACCAGGTTTTGGATATGAGAGCCTGTAAAAAGTCAGCATGTTATTTCATGACTGGAGTGACAGGACATACCGCCAGCTCCAATGAGGGGACGGTGATGCTTTCGGTCCACCGTCAAAGTCCGGGTAACAATGTTATCAAAAGCTTTAGCTCGCTTCTCCAGCTCTTGTTTGGCCTTCTCGACTTGTTGCTTGGTGCCTTTGATTTGGATTGTCACACGATCAGAGCCATCAGCCTTCGGGATATCAATCTGCGCTCCCGTGTCGGCTCGGAGCTTCTCCATCTCCTGGCCACGTCTGCCAATGAGGGAGGCAATCTGCCCTTGTGCCACAGACACGGTAGCAGTGTGCGAGTTGTCGACCAAGTACTGGTGGAGACTCAGCAGCTCGTCACGCACCTTCTCGGCCTTTGCTCGAGGTCCTCGTATTCTGATCTCATCATGAGGCTGACCGCGACCAACGCCAACTTCACTCGCAGTATCGGCGGCAGAGGCGTCGTCGCTAAACTTCTGCACCCTCGGGAAGTCAATCCGCACCGTATTGTCGACCTTGCTTTGAATTTTCTGCAAGTTCTCTCCGTTCCTGCCCACCAACATACCATGGAACTTGGGGTCAATTTTGATGGCGAAATTGACTTCATCCTCCCATTGCTTGGCTAGCCGTAGAATTTCCGCTTTGCATGCCTCGGCCTTCTTCGCCGGACCTTTGATGGTGACATGTCCATCCTCGCGAGTATCGATTTCCACGTCATGCTTTTCACGCAAAGCCCGGATGTTGGCACCCTGTTTTCCGATCAAGTTCTTGTTGAACTGTGCGGGGAAAGCAAAAGTCGTCGTGTATCCACGCTCTTTCTCATCTTCTTCTGCCTCTCGGAGGAATTCTTCGATCTTCTGGCGGAGTTCTGCGATATCTGCCTCGCTTGGACCACGCAGATAGACTCTTTCGGATGGCGAGCCTCGGGAGACGCCATTGGCTTGTCGTGGACCGCCTCGAGTGCCACCAAAATCCACTTGAACCGGGAAAGATTGCGGAGGCATTGGTCTAGGCTCGTTGTTCACAAATCTCTTGACCTTGTCCTGGAACTTCTTCGGGACGTGGATATCCTGCACTGAAATGCCTTGGTGAGGAATATTGGTCAGCAACAGTGCCTGTGCCTCCTGCAGGGCTTTCTCAAATTTCGCCATTTCAGTCTGGGTGGGTTTGTTGCGAGGAATCGCAAAGGGCTGATCCCGTGAAGGTCCCTCGTAGACTAGTACGACGGGATCTGAGCCGTCCTCGGGCACGATCATGTGGACACCCAAATTATCCCTTAGATTGGCTGCATGCATTTGCTCGAGATGAGGATGGAAGAAAGGATCGACCTCGACCAGCTGAATTCTTGCCGAAGGATAGGCCTGAGTAATTTTGGAAAGCTCGTTGCGTGCAGAAAGTGCCTTCTGCGGGTCGTTGCTAATGACAGTCCAGCTCGGAGATGCACTGCTGCTCCGCGGGAAGATGATCTCGGCACCATGAGATTTCATGAATTCGCGCTCGATCGCTTTCTGTTGAAGATACTGTGCAAGTGCTCTTGAGTGGCGCTCTGGGCCTTGAGGGGCATCGTCGAAATGCTTGCGCATGTCGACGGCCCGATTGTGTTTTCGGGACATGAGTTCTTCGGCCAAATTCCGACCGGCCTCGAGCTTGTCTCTTGGGCCGATAATATGGATATCCTCCGTGTCATGATTAGGTGGCGGCAAAATAACAGCACAACCGGTCTCCTCTAAGAACTTCAAGGGGTCCATCCCGCGCTCGCCGACAATGTATGGATGCAGAATCTGTTCAGCGGTGAGCTCTTCGAGGAGGAGCTCTTTCTGGAGCTCTTCTGCCAACTGCTCTAGCAATAGACGTGCTTCTATTGTTGCAGCTTGATCACCAGAAATGACAATGTGATTATCTCCATGAGGGACAAAGGTAGGAGGTTGATCCACCTCGGCAGGCCGTGGTGGTGGTTGTTGCTGCCACGTATGGTATTGCGGCACGTTGATGCGAACGTCGCGTTCTTGCTCCAACTGTTGGAGTCGGTCTGCGTGACGACCAGCGATGAAGGGATAGAATTCTGGCGGAATATTGCGCACGGGAAGATCGACCTTGGGCTGCAGTGACTTGACCTGGTTTGAGATTTGCTCATAGACTTGTCGAACCTGAGCAGCGTTTCCACGAATCTCGACCACATCAGTCCTGACATCCTCGGGGCTCGTCACAGGCTTGGTATCACGATCGATATGTATACGGACATTGAATTGACTTTCCAGCTTCTTGATGTTTCCACCGGCTTTGCCAATGATCTGCGCGGAGACGGTGGATGGAATTTCCAGTTTGACTTGTTTCTCAAGCGTCAGTTCCTTGGAGACGTACATCAGGGCCTCGGTGACTCGCGCCTTGGGACCTTCGGCAATGAATTCAGTTCGAGTCGCGAAATTGGTGGACTTTGGAGTGACGATAACGTTGAATTTCTTCTTCACGTCGTTCAAAACTCGTGACAGGGGTTTGCTCTTGTCCAAGTCGGCATTGTCAATCTCGAAGGAGTCACGGTATCTTCCGGGAAGGACGACGTTGCTGCGTGGGCCGGCTGTAGTTACTGGAGTCCGGGCACCAGACGTAGAGTTCGGTGTTGGAGCACCAGAAGACGTCGGTCGAGATCCCAGGGCGGGAGAGCCGTTTGTTGGAGCAGCTTTGGCAGATGCACTAGCAATCCAACCGGGCTGTCTAGCGGACGCAGCAGTGGCAGCTCCCAAAGCCGGAAAAGCCTCCTCAGACTGAGTGTCAAGCACCGGAGGTTTTTCAGTCGCCTTCTGCTTTCCAGCAGCCTTGGCCGACATTGGGGCATTGCCAGTCCCATTGGTTGTGGTTGTAGCATCTTCCGCCTCTTCTGCAGCGTGATGGGAAGGGGGCGGGTGTTGAAGATCGTCTTCATCGGGCACTTCTTCGACAGTCACATGATGCGCTTCTGCGGCCTCATGTTTCTCCTGCATGAGTTGAGCTGGAGTCTTGGTCGTGCTGGAGCCGGCATTGGCAGTAGAATCTTCCGTTGCGGTGGCCATGGTGGTGGTGGCTCCGAAGAAAGCCTCGAAAGAACCGTTAGGGGAGGAACCGAAAGGGCAGGACGGAAACCGAGAACGCTTTGAAAGGTCAGGGTGAGGCAAGCATGAAGCTCTTCCCACAGACTGTCTCAAAGTATAAAGTTAAGGCAAAGTGAATAGCAACCTCTGTCACTATATCAAGGATGCGGTAAGAATAGTAGAGAAGAAGTGAAGTGTCGTTTG